CGGGCACAGTGTTCTTTGATGGCTCCATTTTGTAAGTGCATTGACACAGTGGTAATTCCAGGGCTCTAAATTAATGGTGGCGAGTTGCCAAAATGGTAGTGGATCCTAGCATTCAGCCAATGACCATAAAAGGGCACTGATGTTTCTTTTTTGCCCATTGGTAATCCAGGGATGGTTATTAGTATTCAAACCAATTGGAATTAATGGTCAAAATTATTTTTAAAAAAGTGCTTTCTGCAAACAGCATTTCTTGCAAACATAAACTTTAATTCATTAATAGTTAGTATTCTGAATATTGTAATCATATTTGTGGTTTAGTAATGGATGCTTGTGAAGAACACATTTACAGATTATTTACAAATTCCATGTAAATACAGTCAAGTGTACATAGATCATTATGTGGCTAGAAGAGTGTTTGTCTGCTCCTTCCAAAGAGAAATATTCTTCATATATTGAGATTGTTAAATGAAAGAGTTAAAGGATAATACTTAAAAAATGGGAGGCTACAATGAAAGTGTAAAAACTAACACAGCAGAGTTTAAGACAGCAATGACCTCCAGACAACACCATAAGCCAACTCTGAATAATGTCCCCATCTAAAATGGAAGGATATGGAAGAGAATTATCTGATCTCGAAAACCATCATGATAAAGTTCGATATGTTTTAGGTACTATGAACAAGATAATAAACAATAATTTCAAGTTTATGACGGTCCATAATTCAAAAGACACAAGCATCCAGCCACAATTCAGAATCAATGGCTGTTTTCTTCGTATATATGATGGAAGAAACCTAACATCAAGGCAATCCCATTTTGCCTTGTCCTGTATATGTCAGATTCTCTGATGCAGATTCAATGAAGTTTTATGTCTTTTGCCTGCTTAAGTATGTATTTGAAAACCATACACTTTTTACGTTATCTGATTTATAGGAAGTTGTAAAAATTGAAGAAAACATTAACATGGTTGTTTCCTGAAGAATCCCGATTTAATGGGCACAATTACTGCAGGGCCAAGATAACCACATTGAAAGTTAAGCCTTATTGTGGGCATTTTGTATGTGATGAAATTTAAAATAGCATACTTAAATGCTCGTATATACACATTTACATATAGCCAGTAAGAATATAAAAAGTACATGCAGTGTATGTACAAACTTATCAGAATTATTCATAATGATATATGTCTGTTTCAGGAAAAGAGAAGCTGCTCTAAGCAAGAAAGAAAAAATAACTCATTGTTCCACTGTTGCTGATGCTATTATTTCCCAGAATGTAAAGTAAGTGCTATATTTATTCTATAAGTTTTTACCAATGTAATATTGCAGAAGTGATACAGAGTTGTTACAGAAGAATAAAAATCACAATAGTCAAATGATGATTATCAGGCCTGAAGTATGACTGTAAAAGATAAATGCATTCCAAAGGCATAGTGTTATTTCTACCATTACTATTAGCTGTTCTGCTAATTTTTATTATTTTTCTATTTTTTTCCTCTTTAATGGTTGACATTTGAATGAGCTACAAACTCTCATTTATGTGAGAAGCTAATACAAGTAATTATGTATTCTGTAGAAGAAAATTGCATTTCATTCATTGTGAGTCAAAAATATTTCCAATGTCCAATCTCATGAATTGTATTTAGTCACCTTTTCTGTTGGTACTTAGAAACATTAACTAACTTTTGTATTCTGCTGTACTCGTGTACTTCTATGGATTTTCCTTGGTGTGCCTCTAGCCACTGTTCTTGACACATCATACTGTCTCTGACTGTGTAAGTCTTTCTTTTTTTCTTAACCTCTTTTTTACAGAGCCCTCCAGTTCCTTATAATATTCCATTCAATAGCAGTGTTTCCTGCCAGGGTATACTTAACCAAAATATACACAGTTTAGGGTCATCCTGACATGATATAGTACTCACTCATCAGATGAGGTTTTCCACAAGACAGCTTAAAGCATCTTCATGGTGTTCATTTTCCTAAACAAGGCCTGATCCAGACCATACCCATTCATGAACTAGCATGAATAAAGCAGGCAAAGGATTTCTATTTATCCTCCATGTTGGCCTGCTTTGAAAGGTAGGATTTTCATGGTTGCCTGTTGCATTGTTTTATGGTGATGTGCTTCTCCAGACTTCCCACTGTGCTTTATTACCCCCCCCCCCTTTTTTTTTTCCTTGTGGTCTATGGGAGTCCTTGTCATGGTGGACCATGGAGAATGCTTCCTGAGTGTGATCAATTCCACTTAGTAGAGAGTATGGCAATGGTGTTTTGTTTGTGTAGTACAGTTAACCCCTCTGGCTGGCTTTCTCCCATCCCACTGCTACCCGGAAGTCGGGTTCCCAGGACCAGCCAACATAAGTCTTTACTCAGTTGCACAGTGGATGTTACTTTCCTTTTCTGCCTCACTGGGCTTGAGGTGAAGATAGTAGGGACATCTTCCTATTGTTGCTTGGTAGCCAAATTCCTGGTGCTGCCTGGGTTTGGACTGGAGTTGACTCACCACATATGGTCTGATGCACCCTAGCTACACTACACATGTCATATTTTCAAAATTCTCCCCAGCCTCTATACTTACAAATAGCTTATTGTATAGCTTTATCCTTAACAACAAAGAAACTTTGAATAACTACAATATTCATAAATACATCTGTACCATATACCCTACTCATTTGTAAGTCAAAAATATTATATTGACATTATCTGATTTGCAAATGCATTACTTAAATTTAAGCATACAAATAAGAAATGACTTGGGGGAAATAGATATTATTGATAAAATTGTGAATTCTCTTTCAAAAATTATGGATTTCCTTCATCTGTATGCAAAAATTTGATTGTTTTTCAGTTACTAAGAGTTTTAGAGAATTTGTAATAAACTAAGATATTACTAATGTAATCTAGATCTTTTAAATATAAAACATAAGCAGAATAGTTTTCAAGAAAATGATTTTCAAATCTTATTAAAAGTTTGTGAAATGCTACTTAGATTAATGATAAAATGTTGAGGAAAGCTAATTAACACTGTCAAAAACTGTAATTATGAAAAATAAAAGATACATGTATTTTATGTTACCATTTTTCAATTCTGTTGTAACTAGTATTTGTGTATTAGGTAACATATGTTAGTATTTAAGTGAATTCATCTCATTGAGCACATTCTCTTTGGTATGATAAATAATCATGGTGGATGGTTGGGTGTTTTTATTGTCAGTTTCTGAAAATAGGTTTATTTTGTTCTTCCCACTGTTACATTGTATTAGCCTGTTTTACCCTTTCAAGATGGGCCTCAGGTGAAAGGCCATGTCATCTCGTTTGTTGACTCATTCAAATATTTATTGAAGTACTATTTCCTGAATTTGTGTCAATAATTTTGGTTCCAAACTGTAGATTATAATTCAAATTACATGAGTGCAAGTGAGCCCCATCGGTGTAACTTCTGTATTTTAGCCAAGCACGGCTGAATGGTCAATATAATAAAAATAATAAATATATACAAATGTAT